TCGCTGACTTACCCTGCCCTATGCAGACGACTTCGAGCGGATCGCCAGGCGGTCCTTCCGTGCCGATGGACGCGACCATCCCGCACACGGCTCCGGATGGCCCTCGAAGCAAGGAGGTGCGTTGCGTGGTTGCGTGCGACGTCGCTGCTCGCTGACTTACCCCACCCTATGCAGATGACTTTAAGCGGATCGCCAGGGGATACTTCCGTGCCGATGGACGCGACCACCTCGCACATGGCTCCGGATGACTCTCGAAGAAAGGAGGTGCGTTGCATGGTTGCATGCGACATCACTGTTTGCTGACTTATCTTGACCTGCATAGATGCCTCTGAGTGGGTCGTCCAGCAGCGGACTTCGGCCGGTTGTACTTCCAGGCGCAGATCACGACCGCGATTCAAGACAGCTTTTAGACCCCATGAAGGGATTACAGGCCAGGGCAAAGGCTGCATTGTCTTTGTTCAATAGTGTATTGTCGGATCCTCTGCCGGCTCATGGCCCGGAAAATGCCACAAGCAACTATGATCCATCGGCAATTATAAACACATTTCAGTCGACTATCGCTACGGCTATGGCAACCGCCGATGCTTTGCAACCACTATCGAACCCGGAGTTTGCGATACCAAGCCGCCCTCCCCCTAGTGGCAAGAGACTCGTCTTTGATGGCGTTGAACTCGCACCGGTGCGTGCCTTCATATGACATTTCTTTCATGCTCTAACCGTCATTTCACAGCTTGCGTCGATTCGCGGCGCTCGTGATTCTCCCGGAAATCCTTTCCGTACCATCAATACCGTAACTGCATTCGACGACCGCGGATCTGTCCCGACCTCGCCGCCTGGCTTGCCGCCCTCTTCCCCTCCAAGGTCTTCACCATCTCCCCGATCGCGAGTGACCATCGAAGATGTTGACGATGAAGACGATCTCCCACTTCCCTCTCCGGATCAAATGTCCACTCGATCGCGAGTCGTCATGGAAGATCTCGATGATTTCATAGATGGAGAACCCATGCCTGATCTTATAGAGTGCCCCGAAGATGAGTCTGCCGCCGAGTCAGAGGATGAAGATGACGGGCACTATCCGAAGGCTCCCACTTCGAGAACTGCTCATTTCGGCAATCACTGGGAGGTCGACGGAGGCGGTCGCGTGGTGGATTACGATGAGTTGACGGAGGACTACAAAAGGCCGACAGGGACTCGCGGTCGTGTTCGCAAGGCCGCAGATACAGACGAAGAACACGGTCATGATGCTGACTCCCGGGGGGCTACCCCTTTGGAATTGCCTCGTCGGCATCGCGAGGAGCTAGACCAAGACAGCGGTATGGAGGTTTACGAGGAACCGATGCACGATGACGACGTCGATGAAGACGACGATAGCAATAACGAGGATGACGACAACAATGACGAACTGATGCAGACTCGCAGTGACCGTAGACGGAGGGAGTCTGCCAAGAACGTAGGGCATAGCGCAGAGGATGGAAGCGAGGCAAGCGGCTCGGACTGGGGGGATGATAGGAGTGGAGCCGAGGGATCCGATGAGGAGGCCGAGGATGCGGATGAGGATGAGCCGGCGAAGAAGAAAGGTCGCAGAGCACGCGAGGCGAAGAAGTCGAAGAACGTCGGTGACCAAGACGAGGTATCTGAGGGCGACGAGGAGCAGGCGAAGAAGAAAAGTCGCAAAGCACACGAGGCGAAGAAGTCGAAGAACGTCGGTGACCAAGACGAGGGATCTGACGGCAACGAGGAGGGCGACGAGGAGCCGGCGAAGAAGAAAGGTCGCACAGCACGCGAGGCGAAGAAGTCAAAGAACGTCGGTGATGAAGACGATGTCCGTGGAACGAGCAAGAAAAAGAAATCGTCACAGACCGGTTCGATACGGCGAGAGCATCAGGAGATGATCGACGAGTTTAAGGACAAAACTGACCAATTCGTATCAAAAATGGCAAAGCTCACGAAAAAGTCCCCGGCCTTGATCGCGCAAATGCTACGGCCGAATGTTCCTCAGCAGCACCGTGCAAGAAACATCTGGGACATCTTTTCGTCCTGGTATGCTAAGGAACAGCCTAAGAGGAACGATGGTAAGCTTCCCGTGCCTTTCATGCCTAAAATCTATACCGACCACTTGAACAGAATCTAGGGCGCAATTCATGGAGCGGCTGCGGAAGGAGTATCAGCGACAGATCCAACATATCGAGGACAAGGAGAAGAGAGAAGAAGCGATCCAGAAGTACCTCGACTGGCGGGGCGATCTCGAAGCGGACTATCTTGACCGCTTATCTCAGACAGGCGGCCTCAAGCAGGAGTTCAACCGCGGAGTTGCCGAAGTCAACAACATCGTACGTGTCTCCAGTAGATATCGGTGGTCAACTGCAAGGGAAGCTAATCGTGCATCGCAGGCGCGACACTTGTATCATAGCCTAGGTCTGCACGTCTTCGGTTATGTCATCGATGCCCATGGTCCGTGTGGTTTCACCATGTTCGGTGGTTCTCCGGAGTGGGAAGAAATCAAGAAGCTTTATGTGAAAGATCATTTCGGCACCATGGCCAATTACCAGGCCGTCATTCGGTAGGTTTTTACACGTCTCGTAACTTCCTTAAGTTCTCACACGGACTCTGCAGAGTAATTGAGCTACGAAAGGCTGGCCTCGCGGTTCCAGAACTGCCTCTACCAACGCGAAACGGCTACCAGATCCCCGTTCAAAATGAAGGCGAATCTCCTCGGGACTACGAGCATCGCACCTTCAAATATCTTATGAAGCAAAAATGCGGTAGGCATATGTGGTCGTATCTGTTGTACGAAGCAGCCCTAATGTCCCGCAGTTGAGAATGGCGTAGTTATCGAGACTTATCGCTTCCCCTGGGCCAAGATCCTAGAATTCCTGGCAGCCAACAGCTTGCGCATCGTGAACATGCACCCGCATTTCGTGTTGAAGAAGAAGCCGAAGGGTGGATATGGCTTCAATTTCCGCGGGGAGAACGTAGATGTGACGATCAGGCAAATTGTCGAACCTTTCCTCTCCGAGAACGCACTCGGTTCCAAGTTCAGCCTTGAGCCGTGGTCCGATGGTTTGCTCTCGCTTTCTCATTTTGCAAATATGTACTCATATCAACCGCCGTTAGAGGAATACGCCAAGGCCTGGAACCGCAAGGCTGACCTGCCGCTCATATTAGGCTGGCCCCTCACGGATGAAGAACCGACCATCGTCTTCAACGAGCGCAAGCAATGCGTCATGTACCGACTCGATCAAACGCTCTACTACAAAAAACAACTTGCTTTGGAACTCAGGGCGGACAAAGCCATCAGTAAGGCCATCAAGGCGAGCATGGCTAACAAGAAGGCTACGGAGCTCGACGCGCAAGGTCTATACAAGATGGACGACGATGGAAGCGACATCGACGACGGCGATATGGCCAACGACGGCGATGTGGCTAACGACGGCTATGTTTATGACGCAGACGAAGCGGCCGAATACGCTGCCGTTCACGACGAGTGGGCGGCTGCATATGCCACTGGCCCTTTTGCCGGCGAGGAGGCTGAGCTTCCCAATATTGCTCAAGAAGACGGAGAGGACTTCGCCTCGGCGCGTGATGACGACGCGGCCAGCTGGGGAAACGGTGTAGACGCCTACGAATCAGCGGGGGTTGAATACTCGGTGACGTCCCTTTTTCATGTCTGAACGCCCCAGATGCTGACGATGCTCCGAAGGTTGACGAGGTTGGGGGCGATATTGCGGACACTCAACACTATTGGGATGGAGAAGAATTTCAATACGAGGGCGAACATGAATACGATGAAGAGGCACCGCTGGCAACTTCAGGCCACGTCTATGAAGTTCCCCCAGATGCCAGAGCGCTGTCAAACCTCACGACGCGTGGTGTAATTAATGGCGGACACAATGACGACGAACTCATGAATAGTGCATACCGGGTGGCTGAAGGGGGTCATCCGCTCGAGAGGGTGTCTCGTCAGGTGCGCGATCATCGTCACATCGTCTCTGGATATTTGACAAACATCAACGTACTTAAGCCTCATGGTGATCAACATTACAACCCTGAAGGGCGCCGTCGTCGCATCACCTTGACGCAGTCTGACGAAGAACCGCAACCTCGTGTACGATATCGCTATTGCATCTATATCTCTAGCTCACATGACTTCAGTTCAAACGCAGGAAAGTCACCGGAACCATGGAGTCATCCATCCAGCCAATGGCTCCACGCAATATTGAGCAACGACCGGTTCGCGGCCGACAAACTAACGAAGAATATGGAGCTTCGAGACCGAACCTCGCGGTCGTTCATACGGATTATGCTCGTCCGCGATTGGCCAAGCCGATGAACCGCGTTGCTACAAATGTAGAATCACGGCACCATAAGGGACCTCCCCCGACAGCTCTGACCTCTGGTGGTGCCGCATCAGAGCGTCCGTTGTCAAGATTCAGTACGCCTATGCTTCAATGTAATACGTCCGTACTAACAGGTGTCGTTCGCCGTCAGGCAATTCGTCTATCACTCCCTCAAACGTTGCACCGACCGCTGCGCACCTACCGTCAAGTCACACGTCTGCGTGGCCCAGCGCACCGTCCGACTCAGCGCCAACTGCCTCGCGCCCACTGTCGCGCAACATGTCCATACGGCCAGGCGCACCGTCTCACTCAATGCCGACCGTGTCACGTCCACCGCTGGGCAACGCGTCCGTACGGCCCGGCGTACCGTCCAATTCGATGTCGACTGCCTCGCGCACGTCGTCGGGCAACGCGCCCGCACGGCCCAGCGCACCGTCCGAACCGGCACCAACCACCTTGCACCCACCGTCGCGCAACGTGTCCGTACGGCCAGGCGCACCGTCCCACTCGGCGACCACCGCCTCGCGCCCACCGTCGCGCAACGCGTCCGTACGGCCAGGCGCACCATCCCACTCGGCGCCCACCGCCGCGCGCCCAGCGTCGCGCAATGCGCCGGCATGGACCAGTGCGCCGTCCGATTCAATGCCAACCACCTTGCGCCGCCCACTGCTGGGCAACGCGTCCACACGGCCCGGTGCACCGTCCAGTTCGATGCCGACCGCCTCGCGCACGTCGTCCGGGAGGCGGCCTTCCCACGCGACGCTGGCAGCTCCGAACGCATCATCAAGCGATCCGGCCGTGCGTGCTGGCACTCAAATTCGTAGTGTTCAGCCCCTATCGCCTATCACAGAAGCGATGCATCATCCACAGCGTCCGAAGCCGAAACCACGACCGGTCAACTTAAAGCGTAAAAGAGACGAAGAACGAGACCTGTAGTACAGACTGCATGCACGACCATGTACTGATGAAGTAGTTGTTGAATTTATCTATATGTATGGTTATCAAGACTCTGGTGTATGAGGTGTACGGGTGGAACACGAACATGACTTACGCACGGTGCAGAACTGATAACTTAAAGACCCGACTGGAGCTAGAGCATCACATGATATAAGTGAAACCGTGTTGCTGGCAACCCGAATCCGAGGTGCACATCTTACACATTAGGTTGCTCCGGCTACGGTGGGTAGATGGATGAGGCCACACAAGACTTCATACACAAGCCATTCAACAAAGTGGTCCCACCACATTTTGCCACCACATCCCTTGGAACTATGTAGATTGTGTTTGCTCTACCAGTGTACACAGTATATATGGAGTAGTGTTCACATATGTGAACATACAATATGGGGTTATGAAGGACGAGACATCACGAGTTGAGGTAGGTCCACTGCAATGTGCGCAGGTACTTCCATGACACCTCCAATCAAAGGCTATGGTATCACCCAGAAGAGGGATCATCTCTGGTAGTGCCAGTAGAAGGCAGCAGCGAGCATGGTAATTCCATGAGATGGTCTATCTATGAATGGTAATCCCAGTGAGGAATGATAAGAGGACTGGAAGCTCCTCGCGTATGACAGGGTTAATGGTAGCTCCATGGTGATATCTATGATATGGTGGTAACACCCGGAGGAGAAATATGGTGCTCCCCCCAAGCATTTAGGACCTACCAGTGTAACAACCAAGCAAGTAGACCATGGAAGCTCCGCCGATGTATTTGGTCCTTCCAAGGTGAGATGATAATATTACTGGG